AATGGCAAAAATAGTTCTTCATTAAAGAAGATATATAAATGTCAAATAAGCACACGAAAAGATGTCAGGATCATTTGTCATTAGGAACATGCAAATTGAAACTATAAGAAGCTAACTAATCTTGCTGAAATTGAAAAAGATGGCCCACATATGCTGGGAAAAAGGTAGAGAAACTGAATCTTATGCTGTTAGTGGCAATGTAAAATGGTACAACCACTTTAGAAAGAAAACAGTTTGGTGTAAATATGATCCAGACATCCCACTCCTCAACATTTATCCATGAGAAAGGAAAACATGATATCCATACAAAGACTTACTACACAAAAATGTTCATAGCAGGTTCTTTTAAAACACAAACACTGTAAACAATTTAATTGTCTATCAACAAGGGAATGAATAAATAAATTATTTGGTGGAACACAGATTCATAAGCAAAAAGAAAGCACATTATTTTTGTGCACAATAACATAGGTAGGAAGGAAATTATATATAATTACAGTACCTTTATTAAGTATCTCTAAAGCCAAGTGTGGTGGTACACAGCTGTAATCCAGCAGCTCTGGAGGCTGAGGCAGGAGGATCCTGAGTTCAAAGACAGCCTCAGCAACTTTTCGAGGTCCTAAGCAACTCAGTGAGACCCTGTCTCTAAGTAAAATACAGAAAAAGGGCTGAGGATGTGCCTCAGTGGTTATGTGCCCCTGGGTTCAATCCCTGATACCAAAAAAATAAAGAATCACTAAGAACTGGAAGCAACCTGAATTTAAATAGGTGAACAAACATAATATATTCACATAAGAGACCACCACTCTGCAATTAAAAGGAATGAACTACCTGTCGATGACTGTATGGATGCATCTCACAAATACATCATGCTAAGTGAAAAAGGTCAGACATGGTTCAATTTATAAGGATTCTGGAAAAGGCAAAAGTTCAATTCAAAATGATTGTCTCTGGATGCCTCGCTGAAGAGATACAGCTTGGTTCTTGCAAGTAGCACAGCCTCTGGTATCACCACACCTGGATTTGCAGAGGCACTTGGAGTAGTTTACTTGGGCTCAATGCTAGTACTAGCTGTGTGACCTTCACATTATTTCATCTCTCTATGCCTCAGTTTTACTATCTGAAAAATGGATATCTTACCACATATAGTAATTAAGAGGATCAAAAGTAGTCAATATTTGTAAAGCCAGTCTGACATCTAGTGTATCTTCTATAATTCTATAGTTGGAGCCATTCTATAAATGTTACTTCCTTTTTCCTTAAGAAAAATCTTATATTAAAATCTTAAGGAGAAAGAAAGTTAACAGACATTCTGGAATTTGTACTAACCCCAGAGAGCACATTTAATTCTCTGATACAGACTAAATTGAGTGACCCCATACTTATCTGACATTTTCCCTACTATAGCAGAGCCTCATTGTTTAAAGAATAGAGGGTAACTTTATATTGAAAAAGAAAAGAAAATCCAGAAACTCAATAAATGGAAAATCCATAGCAATTATTTGTCTAAGGAGTTTAGAAATCTTTTAAATCATTAACTCAAGGTGTTTTGGACTTCAAAAAACATGTACACTGAAAACAGTTGAAGCTACATACCAGAAAAGGACTAAAATTGGGACTGAAGCCCTCCTGCTTTTATAGTTAGAATTTCAAGGGAGGTGAACCCTAAGATAAAGTTTCCATCTGGAATCCTCTGAGATCCTCATAAATTGTTTAAGGGGCTCAGTATACCAGTACCTTAGAGCACAGCATTGTTGCAGTTAAAATAAACCTGAGTCTCCCTGCTATACAGTGATTTAAGGATTATCTTTGTTTAACAGAATAGACGGATTTTTGTGACTGTTTTTGCCTGTTTGGGCTGAGAATGATCTACACAATTATATTAAGACCAGGATACAGCTGTTTGTGACTAAGCCCCATGCTCACCAAATAAGTACCAGCTGAGCATTATACATCACAGACATCTGTTTCCTGTTTTTATTCTTCCTTTATCATTCTATCCCCATTTCCTTTCACCTGTAGGCCACCCAAGACAACCACAATTAAGCAAGCCTTGTGCTAAGTGTCTTTTTCCTTCAGACTGTTGTCAGGGTAGCTTAGTCATTCTACTTGCAGGGGTGGGGAGGGAAACCCAAGGACCCTCCAGAGTATATCCTGAAACTGGAAGGTTATTGCCTATGGTACAGGAGTGTCTTTAGGTGACTAACTTCCTCCTACACTTCCCATGAAGAACTCTTCCTGTAGAAGCAGTATCAGCCCCTGAAAAATTACAACTGTAAACTGCATCATTAAAGAAAACCCTCCTTCATGAATAAGGCAATAACTTAACCTAGGACCACGGCATACAAAACGGTATCTCTTGGGTTTATTTTCACACTTCATACCAGGATACAGAACACAGGATGTGTTTACATTTAAGGAAATTTATTTCTATGGAAACAGTTGAGGTCAAAGCAGTTCTCCTTAGCCCAAGGCAACATCTTTACCCTTAAGGTATTGCACCTGAGACTAGGGTTTAGCTCAATGGTAGAGTGCTTGCCTAGCATACGTGAGGTTCTTGGTTTGATCCTCAAGTACCACAAAAGCAAAAGAATCTTAGAGGATAAAAGGTTTTATAATTGAAAGAGACTTTAGAGTTTATTTTACATAACATTGTATTTCACAGTCACTGTATTATTACATACAGTTTAAAAAAGGTGAAGTAACTCGTCTAATGCATTCCATTGAATGGTTTAAGAATATAAGGCAGCACAGTTTAAATACCTAATAGAAAAAAACTCAAGAGAAAGTGTCTTTAAAATATATTTGAAGCCAGGCATGATGGCACATACATGTAATACCAGCAATTTGGAAGGCTGAGACAGGAGGATCACAGATTCAAGGCCAGCCTCAGAAATTTAGGGAGACCTTCAGCAACTTAGCAAGATCCTTCTTGAAACAAAAAATAAAAAGGACTGAGGATATAGCTCAGTGGTAAATCCTAGAACAAAAAAAAATAATAAAATAAAAATATATATGTATGTACATATATATCTGTATATCTCTATATAGATACATATATACACGTATATATATACACATTTTAAACAGGGCTGGGGTTGTAGCTCAGTAGAAGTGCATGTTTGGCATTAATGAGGCCCTGGGTTCAATCCCCCAAATTAATTTAATAAGATAAAATAGATATAGTAAGTTCTGTACAATATACACAAACTATCTCCTTTGGATTAAAAAAGAAGAAAAACTGGAAAGTAGGTCAACAGTAACAGGAGGAGAATATGGACTTTTGCTTCTTTTAAAACTTCAATATTAATGTCAAAACAAGTATGAACCACTTTTTGTTCTGACAGGAAATTTGAGGGGATTTGTCCCAACAGTAACTTAAAAATAAGATTTACTCAATTCCTGACTCTTAGGGACTCTTAATAGTTAATAAAAACACATTTTCTTTGTCCCTTGGCATTTTTCTTTGCAACTTTCTTGGCATCTTATCATCTCTTCTTTCTTATATCACATGTAAATATAACTTTTTAATCGCCTAACACTGGAAGTATAAGATGTGCTGTCAAAATGTTTAGAAAAAGCAGGCACAGAAAAAAAACAAATACCTCTTCTCTGATGGTTTCCTGTACTTTGTCACACTCTCCTTTGAAAGTATTGTGCACAAGATTGGTGAATTAAGTAATTTACTGACTGTGATAAAACTTACTAAACACATCATTTCAGAATAGTAGATGCAGAATTAAAGAATTCTGCACTTTCCCTGAATTTTTCTAATGTGAATCAACCAACCAGAGTTGAGGTTTCAATATCAAAATTGGTGTCAATCCTCTTGCTTGTTTAACATTTTATATATTCTTATTCACTCATCATAACAGAAGTTTTCAGCTAAGATAAGCTGCCAAAGAATTCAGGCTCCCTTCAGAATGGGACTGTAACCAAGGTATGGCCAATAGGAGGTAAACAGAAGTTTTGTGTGGCAACCTCTAGGTACCTTCCTTAGGAAAAGTTGGTTTGCTCCAGTTGGTTCTTATTTGGATCATGAAAATGAGGACTGTACTCTCGGAGTGGGAGAGTTTAGGAGGGAGAAGCCCCAGGCTCTGATACTTCCTACAGCAGAGCCAGCAACCAGTCCCCAACTGGGTAGCCACTTTGTGAGAAAAAAACAAAACTACCTCATTCACACACTGTGATTTGGAACTCTTAAAAGTGTAGCCAAAACTAACCAACTTGGAGTCACTTGGAGACTCTGAAAGATAAAAACTTGTTTTTAAATTTTGCCTAACCTTTGGAATTTCTAGGATTTTATATTACCACAGAATAAGGTCTTAATGATTCTTTTTTTTTTTTTTTTTTGAGAGAGAGAGAGGAGAGAGAATTTTTTTTTTTTTTAATATTTATTGTTTAGTTTTCGGCGGACACATCTTTGTTTGTATGTGGTGCTGAGGATCGAACCCGGGCCGCACGCATGCCAGGCAAACGCGCTACCGCTTGAGCCACATCCCCAGCCCCTTAATGATTATTCTTATTTCCAGGGTATAAGGAATGGTTTGCTATCAAGCCAAACTACATAATCCTGGATAAAAACTGAAGTATATTCCCAATAAATTACTTTATAAATTTTCTACCTCAATGCATGAGGTAGAAAAATTAACACAACAGAACACTACATGATTTAGCTTTTTTAATTTTTCATTTTAAGAAAATAACCAGCCAAGAATCATTTTATTTCTATTGTGGAAGAATTATTACTTAAGATCAATTTTTAATTGCTCAAGGGTAAATTAAGCTTTTAAGATTTAGATACAATATATCTTTGAAAAGCTAAATTAGCTTACTAACTCTTAAATTAAACTGAGTTTAAGTCCTGCACTTTGGCATGAGCCTGTACTCCCATCAGCTCAGGAGGCCAAAGCAGGACTTCTTGAGCCCAGGAGTTCAAAAGCTTATTCAATATAGCAAGACTCCACCTCAAAAACAAACAAAAAACAACAAAAGAAAAATGAGTTTAATTTTCCCATTACCATTTTTATTGTGTACATAACCACTGAACAAGTTTTCCAAAGTTTTTTGAAATAACTAAAGGACAAAGGTCTTCAATGTCTGATATAAGTAGAATTATGTCTGTTGGAATATTTCTTTAAGACACAGAATACTAATGGTTAATCATTATTGTCTAATCTCATCAGTGCTAGGAATTCTTGTTTCTCTAATCTCCCATATTACCAGAAAATATATTACTTAGGAGTCATTCACTAGGCTTGCCATGGTGGTGCATGCCTGTAATCCCAGAAGCTCTGGAGGCTAAGACAAGAGGATTACAAATTCTGAGGCCAGCCTCAGCTATGGAGAGCCATTCTCACACGTGACTGGGCGACTCCCTGTTTGGGTCTGAGGCGCTCTGGCTAATCTGTGTCGGAGCTTTCCCCGGCCCTCTCCTGATGAGAGAACCCGTCCGTGTGGGGGTGTGACTGACCACTGACCCCGGGGGCCAATCACTGACCCTGAGCTTGGAGTGCGGCCCCCCTCAACCTTCACTGGATGGAATTCTCCCCTGAATTTCTTGTTCCCCAATAAAAGGCTACTCCCTGGCGTGCTCGCTCTCTCTCTCTCTCTCGTGCTAGCCCTGAGTAATCCTTGCTGCCCTACAGGTGGTTCGAGGTTGGAGCCAGAGAGGGGAGCCGACTCGGACCTGGTCATAGAAAAAGGTAACGGAGTCTGTGTGTTTTATTTCGATCTCACTAGTTAACTTTTATGCCAAGAACCTCATTAATGAAACCAATGCGCTGGCCGCATGGTGGACTCAGCAATTTAGCAAGGCCCTAAGCAACTTAGCAAAACCCTGTCTCAAACTAAAAAATAAAAAGGGGCTGGGATGTGGCTCAGTGGTTAAGTGCCCTGAGTTTAATCCTAGGTACCAAAAAAAAAAAAAAAGTCAATCACCAGCCTAAGCTCACTTTCCTGATCACCTTCCTGATCTTGACACTGAGTAGCAGAGCTCTCTGAGGCTACTGATTAAAAGGAGCTCATTTTATCAGCTCATTAGCACCTGCTTCAATCTTAGTTGAGCAGGCCTACTAATCAACCTCTTTCCACTTGGGTGTTAATTCTGACATGAAACAATAACAAGGCAGAAAAGAAAAGATCATAAAAAGATGGACTAGAAATATTTTTAAATATTTATAATTGTCCTTCAATCAACCAGCAGAGTCTGAATCTTTGACACACAATCTACACAGTCAATTCCTATGTACAGTCCTTATTTTCTGCAGTGTTATTTTAATTTTAGATGAAAATGAAAAAGAGATATGATTACCCTAACAACTAACAGCTGAGGAATTATACATTCATGAAATGCAAATGACTATATACAATGACTGGAGAAATCCATATGCTTCAGTCCCTTTTCTGGTACTCTGCTACAACTCTGCTTTGCTGGAAGGGAATTCATGAGCTATAATACTTGAGGAGATTCTCATCTGTAGGTTTTAGAATTTTCTTATCTGCCATATTCACCACCCATCCTGGAGCAAGACCAAAGAAGATCTGCCTTGGATCCTTTCGAGTACTGAGCATTTTAAAGAGTTCATCTTTAGTGATATCTGGTAGAACATAGCCATACTTCTTGGCGAGTTCCAGTCTTGCTTCAGGAAATTTGGCAGGATCCGCCAGGTAACCACGGTTCTTTGCATCAGTATAATATGGCACCAGTGCTTCAGGGGGCAGCATTCGTTTTGGAATGGGTTGTCCACGCAGAAAGAATGGAACAGGTTTGCACAGAATATCTAAAAATGTTTTAAATTTAAAAAGAAATATAAATTATTGGCTCTATATGTTACAAATTTTCTTATAATTACTAATTTTCAATTACTGAGATGAAAACCTAATTCCAAGAACTTTTTTATTAAGTAGGCTTGTACTGACTAAGCAAATGCAAATAATTCATTTTAAATAGTTTATATCTTGAAAGCCAAAGTCACTTCTGGGTAACAAATGATTAGTGAATGTCTAAACACAGGTAACATTTATTTAAGCCCCATGTTTAAAAACACAAAAATAAATTTTTATGACATTGTCTACATGTATTAGACCAGATAGAATTCTGCTAACCACACCATTAATAGGAAATCCTAAAACAGAAAACCAAGGTGTCCCAACTACAAGTCAAACAGCTTTGAAGGTATTTAATATCTTCATATGGGGATCTTACTAGTTTAAAAAATTAGAAATATTCATTAAGATTTCTGGAAAACCAATGTTATTAAAATTAATTCTTTTAACTACAGAATAGGCAAAGAAATCTCTTGTGAAACCAACCAACAAAGGATTGCTACACAATCTCAGTTTTGTTTTTAAACCTTTAAAAGTACCTGAGCACGTCCTCTGACTCTGAGGGGTAAGAAAAGGCAATACATAGACATGAAATATCACTGATGCCACAGCCTTTTGATAGTTTACAAAACAATTACACAAATACACAAATAGTTGTAAAAAAACAATGATGTCCTACTCATCACGCTTCAGCAATGCAACCTTAACCTTAGCAGGAAACGAAACAAATCACATAAATCAAAACAAGCTCAATAAAGAACTTACCAAGATCTTTAAAATAATAGTACACAAATCACAGGGCAGTGACAAAGTTTCCCTGACTTAATCCATTCATATATACAAAGTTCTTATTATATAATAAGGTATCTGTGGATCCTCACCCACCACACAATAAGCTCCAGAAGGGACTTCTGACTCGTGAACTGTCATCTCTCCATCATATGGAATAGTGTCCAGCAAATACTAGACATTGACTAAATATTAGCTGAATATAAGAATCTGACAGGTGCCTTGTACATCGCATTATCTAGCAGTATCCCAGCATAGGGCAAGTGAGAAATGGCCATTAGGAGGAGGTCTCTAGACAGGCCACTCAGAAGTAGAAGCTGACTATCAAGGGTCAAGACCAAGAATGACAAAAGCAGAGGCACCAAAAGCTAATTTATGCTCTGGACAAAAAATTCTACATACTGCACTTATACCAGAGGATAATTAAATATCTGATATTCTCACCAAGAAATTACCTGTGGCAACTGAACAGGCACTTCACAGAAGAAATATAAATGGTCAACAAATATATGAAAAAAATCTTCAACATCTCTAGCAACTTAAAACTACACAACAAATTAAATTTAAAACTATACTACAAATTAAAACTACATTTTAATTTAAAAGATTCCATCTCACTCAGTCAGAATGGCAATTATCAAGAACATGAGTAACATTCTGGCAAGGATGTGGGGAAAAAGGTACACTCATCCATTGCTGGCGAGACTGCAAATTGGTGCTATCACTCTGGAAAGCAGTATGGAGATTCCTCAGAAAACTTAGTGGAATGGACCCACCATTTGAACCAGTTATTCCACTTTTCGATATATACCCAAAAGACTTAAAATCAGCACACTACAGTAACACAGCCACATCAATGTTTATAGCAGCTCAACTCACAATAGTTAAACTATGGAAGGAACCTAGGTGCCCTTTAACAGATGAATGGATAAATTATACATACACAATGGAATACAACTGAGCCATAAAAAAAGAATGACTTTATGACTTTTGCCAGTAAATGGATGATTCTGGAAATTATCATGCTAAGTGAAATAAGCCAATCCCAAAAAGCCAAAGGCCAAATATTCTCTTTGCTATGCAGATGCTAACACACAACACGGGGGCAGGGATAAAGAATAGAAGTGCAGTGAATTAGACAATGGGGAATGAGGGGATAGGAATAGGGAAGACAGAATAAATTGGACATACACCACCAGTGAAACCACACATATGTACAACCACAAGAATGGGATCCTAATTAGAAGTTATACTTCATGTATATATATGTCCAAAATATATTCTACTGTCATGTACATCAAAAAAGAACAAATAAAACAAAACAGAGTGTGGCAGGTTTTTAGTTTTTTTTTTTTTTTTTTTTTGGTGGTGCTGGGGATTGAACCCAGGGCTTGGTGTATGCAAGGCAAGCACTCTACCAACTGAGCTATATCCCCAGCCCTAATTGTGGCAACTCTTAAAAAATAAAAATAAATTACCTTTGGAATATATTTAAGAAAGAAGTTCACAAAATACTTTATATAAGCTATCCTCACTTTAAAAACATTCTTTTTTTCTGGTAAGGAACTAGAGAGTGAATAAAGACACAGTATATGGGAATAACCTTGTTTCTCTGAAGAGAAAAAAGTTTGCATCAGTCCACAGTCACCAAATAAACTGTATGCACCCATACCCCAAATTTACTTTAGGCCTAAAACATGACTGGATACAGCCATTAAAAGTTCTAATAAGGGGCTAGGGTTGTAGCTCAGTGGTAGAGCACTTGCCTTGCATGCATGAGGCACTAGGTTCGATCCTCAGCACCACATAAAAATAAATAAAGGTATGTGTCCATCTACAATTAAAAAAAAAAAAAAAAAAAGTTCCAGTAAGTGGGCTAGTAGAATGCTCGCCTCTCATGTGGAAGGTACTGGGTTCGATCCTCAACCCCACAAAAAATAAATAAATAAAATAAAGGTATTGTGTCCATTTACAACAAAGAAAATATTTTTTTAAAAAAAAGTTCCAATAAATTAGGAAAACGTGCTTATGGCTGCCTAATCATACAAAAATGCAAAATAAATCAGGCATTATTCATCATGATCAAAGTCTTCTCATTAAAAGAACAGGCATCAGCCAGGTGCAGTGATCCACTCATGTAATCCCAGAGGTAGCAAACATTCAAAAAATGAAGAATTTATTCTAAACTTTAAAAAATTTGGCTCGGGCTCGGGATGTGGCTCAAGTGGTAGCGCGCTCGTCTGGCATGCGCGAGGCACTGGGTTCGATCCTCAGCACCACATACAAATAAAATAAAGATGTGTCCACTGAAAACTAAAAAATAAATATTAAAAAAAAAAAAAATTTGGCTCAACATGATGGTACATGCCATAATCCCAGTGGTTCAGAAGGATGAAGCAAGAAGATCGAAAATTCAAAGCCAAAGCAAGCCTCAGCAACTTAGTGAGGCCCTAAGCAACTTACTGAGGCCCCATTTCAAAATCAAATATAAAAAGGGCTGGGGATGTGACTCAGTGGTAAAGCTCCCCTACATTCAATCCGAGTACCAAAAAATAAATAAACGTTTTACTAAATCAACTTTGTTCAATCACAAAGAGAAAGAACTCTTCTTACTTTTAAAATATCCCTTTTAAAAAGGGAAGAAAAGCTGGGGCGGTGGCTTGGTGGTAGCGCACTTGCCTGGCATAGGTGAGGCACTGGGTTCAATTCTCAGCACCACATATAAATAAATAAAGGTCTATCAACAGCTAAAAAAAAAAGTATAAAAAAATTTTAAAAAAAAGGGAAGAAAAATGCGTATTTATTTTCCATAATTGAAAAAGTACAATTAAGTCAGTTATTCAGAAAAAATTACTACTAAATGTTAAACCTGTGATTTCATTGCTTAGTTAACAAAAGGCTCCCAAGACAACTGTAGAGTAGCCTGGAAAGGCCAAGCACAAGAGTCTCAAGGATGACGATGACTCCCTAGACTCCAGCAAATGGCATCAGATGAGCAAACACCATTGTCATACTCCGTGGTGACAATGACTGAAAAATATTCTGACATCAAAAAACCTTCCAAAAATATTTGTGATTAATGTAAAGAAAAATATTCATTTTCATATTCAAGGAAGCTCACTTTAAAAAATATGAGTGATGAGGGACTGAAATGGGAGCAAATTATTTTACATGCTTGCATGAGTGTGTCAAAATGAACCTCACTATTATAAATAAATATAATACACTAATAAAAACATTTTTAAAAAATGAGTGGCAGACCAAGCTAAGAGGCTCATCTACAATAAGAAGAAAATGAGAATTATGATTTATATTTTTATAAATTTTCAATTATGAAGAAAATGAAATGGTAACTAATTGTTTTAAATTCTCCATACAGAGAATATGAATATTTCCTTTTCTACTTTATACATCAATTTTAAAAGAATTTTCTTATAATTGAGCCATTTGGTCAGGAAATGTTTAACTCCCATTTTAATGTAAAACCATTAAAAAATACTTTGTAAAAGCATTTAGTCATCAAGCTGTGTTTGGTTTTCATCTCTTCAATTTAAATTGAACTGAATGAAAATCTCATCCAAGGAAGAGAGGGAAATAAAATTATAGCTGGGTGTGGTGGCACACACCTATAATCCCAGGAACTTGGGAGCCTGAGGCAGGAGGATCACAAGTTCAAGGCCAATCTAGACAACTCAGTGAGACCCAGACTCAAAAGAAAATATAAAAAGGGCTAGGGGGGCTGGGGATGTGGCTCAAGCGGTAGCGCGCTCGCCTGGCATGCGTGCGGCCCAGGTTAGATCCTCAGCACCACATACAAACAAAGATGTTGTGTCTGCCGAAAACTAAAAAATAAAATATTAAAATTCTCAAAAAAAAAAAAAGGGCTAGGGATGTGCCTCAGTGGTACAGTATCCTTGGGTTCAATCCTCAGTACCAAGAAAAAAGAAAAGAAAAAAACATCTGCTGGTTTGTAACGGCTACCGAGAACAAACACAACTCGGGAAAAGGATATAACTGTATATGTGTGCACATGTGTGTGTACGTGCACATGCATGTTCCTGAGGGTATGGGTACATATATGCATGCATATGCTTTTCTGTAGGCCTACATACACATGTGTGCATGTATGTACTTATGCATGTGCACGTGCTCTTTTATTTAGTACAGTCAGGAATGACCTCCCTAGTACATGAAGAAATGATCTCTCCTTCATGGCCCAGAGCCATGAAGATTCTAGGTGGAGGAAGTAATATCTGGGAAGCACCCAGAAGTATCTAGGAGGAGGGAACAGCTAAAGAAGCCTGAAGGTGAAGGGGCTTGGCATGAGAAGGCAGGCCAGGGCAGGTGGCCAGTGATGGAACTGAGCAAATGTGGGAGTGAGGCAGAAGGTGGTCCAGATCATACCCAGCCTCAAAGGAGCAGCAGGGATGCCACTGGAGCCTTTGTGGTAGCTCATGTTTTAAATGAAATCCTGTGCCAGGTTCCACCACAGGCAGGACAGACACAGAGAGGTCAGGTAGGAAGTATCCCAGTCATGCAGGCAACAGGATGGTGGTTTGGACCACATGTAGCTGGATTGTGAACACAGTATGAAGAACAAACTCATAGGATTTATTAGGGTATAAAGAAAGAGTTCAGGGGACTCCAAATGTGGAATAGGAAACCAGAAAGATGGAGCTGTCACTTACACAGGGGAAAATGCAAGAATAGGATGAGGTAAAAGAGACATTTTTCACATGTTAGGTTTGAGATCCCTCCTGAATTTTCAAGGAAAGACTCCAGACATAGGCCTGGGTTCAGAGGACAGACTGAGAAACTTATCGTCTTTGGTCTGTCAGCTGCATGCTTTATTCTTGTATCATGATAATCCACATGCTAGATATGGATCAAATTAACAACAGTTGCCATTCACTCAGTTATTAATAAAGAAGAAAAGAAGAAAATGACTACTAGAACAAGCTTACCCAGACTTCTTGGATCATAGAAGGCTGTAGTAACTACACCACCGTTTTTTTCAATTGCAGCGATAGCTAGTTCTGAAGCCAACTGTACTTCAATATTGATTTTTGCCTTAAAGGTGTCAGCACCCTGCCATAGTCAAAACAAAGTCTGTTAATAAATAGCTTGAATAAAAATAATTAAGGCACGTTTCCTTTTTATTGATTTTGTATTTGTGTGTATACTGGGGAGGGAACCCAGAGGACCTCTACCATGGAGACATATCCCCAGCCTTTTATTTTTTATTTTTGTTTAGTTATAGGTGTACCTTTATTTTATTTATTTATTTATATGTGATGCTGAGAACTGAATCCAGTGCCTCACACATGCTAGGCAAGCACTCTACCACTAAGCTATGACTCCAGCCCTTCAATTTATTTTTGAGGCAGGATCTTGTTAAGTTGCTAAGGCTGGCCTCAAACTTGAAATCCTCTTGCCTCAGCCTCCTGAGTTGCTGGGATTACAGGTGACCACCACATGCCCAGCTCAAGCTTTCTTTTAAATTGTACTCTCCCCTGTAAAGGACCTGTAATTTAGTAATAATTTCTATTTAAAATATCTATCAAAAGTTTTTTTTTTTTTTTACATTTTATTTAGGCCCCCTGTTTTACCAATTTTAAATCTCTGTAAGTAGAAATGGATATGTTTTCATTAATAGTAGATAAATAGTAGATTAATTCATGTTCATAGCAACTATATGGCAGGGTTATTACTATACCAACTTCACAGACAGGGGGCTGAAGCACAGAGAGTTTGAGTAAATGGCCCATGATCAGAAAGCTAGGATTCTAATCCAAGAACCTAGTCACAGCATTTGAGGTAGTTTTTGTTTTTCTTTTTGTGCAGCTGGGGATGGAACCAAGAGCATTGTACTTGCTAGCCAAGCACTCAACCACTGACCTACACTCCCAGCAGATTTTATATTCTTAACTACAACATTTTGCTGCATTATAAAAAACTAATCTTCCTTATCCCGAAAAAATCAAGAGGCCAAGAGGAAGTGAAAGTTTCCACAAGGGAGTTGGAACAGTGAGAAGAACAAAATATCTGGCAACACCTGAATTTTAGAGGGCGTCAGCCCTCATTTTAGGAAAAGGTAGAAAACAAAAATTCATTTTGTACTCACTAGACTTTGTTATAATCTCTAAATTGAAAACAAAAAAGGTATTTTTATTTACTTCCAAATAAAAGATGGCACCACTGCCACTCTTTTGTAGGAAAAGAAAATTTTTTTTGCTATTTTGGTGTGGTTAAAACAAACTGGGGGCTGGGGATTTAGCTCAGTTGGTAGAGTGCTTGCCTTGCATGCACAAGGCCCTGGGTTCAATTCCCGTCACCACAAAAAAAAAAAAAAAAAGAAAGAAATCTTTGGGCTGGGGATGTGGCTCAAGCGGTAGCGTGCTCGCCTGGCATGCGTGGGGCCCGAGTTCGATCCTCAGAACCACATACAAACAAGGATGTTGTGTCCGCCGAAAACTAAAAAATAAATATTAAAAAATTCTCTCTCTCTCTTTAAAAAAAAAAAAAAAAAACTGGTTTCCAATTTGGTTCCTTTGAGTAAAAAATTTTCATGTATTTCAAAAAACATTCCATCAAACCTAAAATGTAATTCTCATATTTTTATCTTTAATATCAGTATGAATTTTTATAATCAATGGCCCTTTGGATTCATAAAATAGGGCCTTGACATATTATTTTTGATTTTTAATTACTATTCCATGAACTGTGTAAATATCTCCCTATTCTTGGACACTGATGTCAGTTCCAGTATTCTCAGTATAATAAATAGCATTTTTAGAAATAGCTTTATATCTTGTTTCGTTTATTACCCACTATGTACTTGTGTATGTAAAATCCAGAAAATGTAAAGAATTTACAAAGCCATAAATAATGTATGATTATATTTACTCAACCACAGCCCTGGGGTAAAGTTTTCAGGAAAATTTTTGCTAGTTTAATAGACATAGACCTGAAGATATTGGGATGTGCAATTTAAGACCTAATGAGCTCATGGATTTTCCCATATGTTAAGATATATGTCTGATTCCTTATACACCCAAAGTAAAATATTGAGGCTTAATCATGTACTTGGTATGCTCTTTTCAAATTATCTTATCTGAAAAGTTTAATCAGGAGACTGCTTTTTCAAACGTATCTAAAAGATTTTTCCATAAACATATGCTTCCCCCTAGTGGACACTACGTTATCTACCCACCTACATAGAACAAACAGTAGTTGATTAACCTACAAAAATTATGTTTATGAATTCCTGGCCAGTTCCTATAAACAAAACTTATTTAGTGCAATTAGAATAGGATTTGGTTCATTCCATACCTCTCTCCTATAAATATTCACTGAGTGACTATCATAAAAGATTATTGAAAATAACAGCAATCAAATTACCTGCCCCCAGGGGAACTTATATTCTAGAAAGGAAGACAATGAAACATAAATGCCTAAATAATAAATAACAGATGTTAATATAGATTCAAAAAAAATGCTTTGGGCAGGGTAATGGAGAAAGTGTGACTGCAAGGGTAAGGCAAGTACTCTTATAAAAAGCTGTCAAAAACCACCATCCTGATATGTTCACCTTTAAGCAGGGAACCAAAGGTAGTGAGGGAGCAAGCTGTAGGATACACAGAAGATGTACATTCCAGGTCCAAAAATATCAAATAGAAAATTCCTGAAATAAAAACAATTCATCCTAAGTTTTAAACTGTGCACTGAGTGCTGACATCTAATACCATCCCACCCCATTCTAGTATATACCAACTCATTAGTCTCTTACAGCACCACAGTATTTATATTCAAGTAACCCTTATTTTTACTTATTAATGACTCCAAAGCGTAATAGTAGTGATGATCGAATTTTGTACAATCCAAAGAGAAGCCATAAAGTACTTTTTCTAAATGAAAAGGTGAAAGTTCTGGGCTTAACAAGAAAAAAAAAACTGTATGCTGAGACTGCTAACAGCTACAGTAAATTATTGATGTTAACCTCTTCTGTCTCTAATTGATAAATTAATCTTCATCATAGATATGTTATATAAAGGCAAAAACATAGTTTCAGGCCTCCACTTTAAAGGTATCACCCATGGAGCTGGTGGGGAGGGAGTCTATTATACGGGGAATTTAAAAATTCCTTCTATTTAACACCAAGAGGTCTAATTCAGACTTACCTCCTCAACAAGCTGGACACCATAGTCCCTTTTAAGAGGCTGGATAGTCACACCTCTCCCATTGACAAGCTGGGTTAAGTCAATAGGTTGAGTAGGATCAACTCGACCCAAATCAATAAGATACTGCAGTCTCTTGAGACTCAAAGGCTGATACTGGCGTCTGAAGCTATGAAACAACAATGTAACAGTTGGAAAATACAAATTAATTATTCCAAAATTTCTAGAAATCAATCCAAAGCTTTGACCTCTGTTTTCTTCCATCAGTTTTGAAGGTTTAACAAAATAAAACCCTCCTGAGCATAACAAAAGCATGTAATATTGCTGAATTTGCAGTAATGAAATAAAACTAGTACTTCCTTATTCCACTAAAAATAATTTGCCTCTCTAAAGCATTTACTTCACCTATGTACACAAATTAACAAATTTAACCCACTATCTGAATTACATAGTAATGGAGTATAAAGAAATAATTGCAGTTATCATTTAATAGGTAAATACAGTGGACTAGATATTATGTGTTTATGTGTATGTGTGTGTACAAATACCATACATATACATATATAATATTGAAAATGCCTGTTTTCTTTATACATGAGCCAAATTTTCTACCTCTAGGTCTCTCCTAAAAGAAAAGAAAAAAAGAGTTTAGCATTTTCAGATGTGTGTGTATGTGTGTGTGTGTGTGTGTGTGTAAATCACAAGAGAGAAGCACAGACATTACCATCTTCATTTTGCAGTACAATGTTTGAGCTTTTTTCCACTACTAATCCAGGCCTAAGTCTCATTACAAAAGTGATTTGTAGGACCAATAGGAAAAAGATTTTTTTTCTAACATTAGCTCCAAAATGAATTTAAAGTTTCTACTAAATTACTGTTTAGGTGATTTCCAGTGTAAATTAGGGGTTTGTACTTTGAGAAACTGCACAACCTTACCTATGTCCTTCATTAAATCCATATTTTGGGATTCGGATATAAAATGGAGTCTGGCCTCCCTCGAAGCCCAGCCGTGGCCGGGTTCCTCTCTGCCTTTCTCCTTTATGGCCTCTCCCACATTTTCTACCTCTTCTCCGACCTCTTGGTCGCCTCGCCTATAAAGAAAAGAGTTGAATTTTAAGATCTTCAGATACATTTCTAAAAACTATATTTCGCTTCTTTGCTCTGTGTGTGTGGTTATGTCATTCACTCACCCAACCAACCAGTATTAGCTGACACTATGTTCCAACCACTGTTCTAGCTACTCAAACATACACATAGTCTATTGGTATCTGTGCCTCTGAGGATGTAATTACTTTTTTATAACCAAAATACAAGTTGTGGAGAGCTGCAAGGGTGGGATGGGACTAGGGTTCTGTAATAGCCCAAAACTGGGGGGGGGGGATCCCTAGAATTAAACATCCACAACAAAGCTTAAATTATAATCAAGAAAATGTTTTCATTTTAAATGTAACTGTACGTATGTAACTGTTGCCAATATACACTATTTTATTTAAATACTTAATTTATTTTTTTTTTTTTTTTAGAAAATTTTTTAATATTTATTTTTCAGTTTTCGGCAGACACAACATCTTTCTTTGTATGTGGTGCTGAGGATCGAACCCGGGCCGCACGCATGCCAGGTGAGCGCGCTACCGCTTGAGCCACATCCCCAGCCCTTAATTTATTTTAAAAAATATTTTTCCTTAATTTACTTGCTGTCACTTCGCGTAAGCAATAAATTGTTACAATGACCGAACGTCGACCACAGCTTTTCTAGCTGTATTCGGTGAGCTGCTGAAGAGATAAATGACAAACCAATTCACGTCTTTCCGATGCCGAAAAAATACACTTTCTAGGAGAGCACTTCATTTTAAATCCAAATTTGAATTACGATCATCTCGTAGTGCTTGGTTTGCTCCTCTAATATGCTTTTAAATAAAGCTCTCTTTATGAATGCAGAGCAGGCGGAAAGACTTTCCTCGGTACAGTGAAGGGGTACCAGGGGTCCGGCAAGCCTACGTCCACCCCGACACCCCCAGGAAAGGACTTCTCGGGCTTGATGTGCAGAGAAAGGCCGCTGCCATTGCCCGGGCCCCCAGCGCTCTCCCGCACCACCACCAGTCCTTTACCGGTTTCCTGGAGCCGGGATTGGGCTTTAAATTGGCCAGGCTCACACGCGGCAGGGCCCGGAGCAGGTCTAGGGACCTGGACCCACCGGCCTGCGCTGGACCAGCCATGACCGCAGGTCCGGGAGCTTCCAAGGGCGCCCTGAGCCGCCTCCAAGGCCACGTGGTCTCGGCACAGTGCTCTACGGCCGCGGCCCCGCCCCTGTCGTGCTGCTGTCGCGCGTCGGGAGCCCTGGATTCCGGCCGTGGCTGTGGAATTTGCAATCTTGCGTCGAAAGCTAGCAACAAAGTTTTATTTTGGTACTTTGAGGCTGTGATCCAATGTTGCAAGATCCTGCTTAGTTTTCGAGTCCCCGTTTCGATTGAAAAACATTCTCTTCCGCCAAAAAAGGGCACGCACTTAAAACGGTGCGTTAGAGGGTCCTTTTTTTTCGGTCAGTATTTGGCTTTGCATATTTTGCGTTAAGAGACAATGTCACGAAGCACTGTATTCGCTAAGCTTAATGTGGAACCCAGAATAAAATGATTTGAGCGGGATACACTGCGAGATACAAAAAATAATACCTGGAGTGGAGTTTTTAAAATGCCTGACTTTAATATTAGTATCTGAATAAGATTCCAACTGAATTCTCATCTCTGTGTATATGGTTTCGAGTGAATCACTGAATACTAACTTGATTTACTATTAATGATAGGAACCACACCGAGCGCCTAGTAAGTGCCAGACAATGCGTAAACTTGGTCTTATTCAATTTATCTAACTAAACAACCACTCTCGAGGTAGATGTTAACCTCGTTTTGCAGACAGAAGGTAAGGCGTGGCATCGACCCAGGTCGCACAACAGCAGAGCCAGAATTCAAACTTACACAGCCTCCTTCTAGTATTTTTTTTTTAAGAGAGAGAGAGAGAGAATTTTTTTTTAATATTTATTTTTTAGTTCTCGGGGGACACAACATCTTTGTATGTGGTGCTGAGGATCCAACCCGGGCCGCACGCATGCCAGGCGAGCGCGCTACCTCTTGAGCCACATCCCCAGCCCCTTCTAGTATTTTTTGTATTTTTGTAATGTAAGAAGGGATTATTTATTTTCGTCACAAAACACATTATTTTAACTCCAAAAATAAGTGAGTTTAAACACACTGAGTGAGTTTAATGTAAAAAAATTATATGTTGCTTCCCTTCTCTTTCCTTTAATATTCTTTTGCTATTTCACTGTTTTGCAAGGGAGTTGTTCCTGTTGACTCTTACTAGCAATCACAAATACTAAAGGTGAGAAACTTTTTGGAGGACATCTGTTTATGTTTAACTAAAACGCTTTGAAGTTATCTTAAATCCAGTGTAATCTAGATCCATAAAGAAGCATTTGCATTCATTCTTTTATTTAAGCAGTGTGTTTGAGCAATATACTGAATTTATTGCATGGATGAAATCAAGCAGGATTTTGTTCGCAGAAATCCAGGAGAGAATTTCCAAAATAAGTATTTTTGAAAGTTTTTTGGTTTTGTTTTGTTTTTTGTTTTTTTAAGGAATACTCTTGTGTAGCCCGCGGCCAGCACAGGCTTCATAAATGAAGGTTCAGCTACACAAGAAATCTGAAGGGAGTTTTGAATTAAAGAGACAGGCTCTAATTACCTTTAAACCAGCTCAAGGATAGCTTCTCCTAGCTCCACCCTCCTACCTATTAGAGTAGCCAGGTTTACTGAAGAGGTTTACTGAAGAGGCTAGCCAGAGGGGAACAAAAAATTCTGGGGAAAATCCCATCCAATGAAGATTAAGGGGGGCAGTGTCCCAAGGTCAGGTGGGACAATTGGGTCTTCGGGTACTGGCCAGACACACCTCCACACAGACAAGCCCTGGGACCTGAGAAGGGTGAGGAAAGCTCTGGACACAAGGATGTGTCTAAGCGCCTCTGCCCAGGCAGGGAGGTAACTCAAATCATGTAATTTATCTTGTAGATAAATTAGCAAAAATAGAAGAAATAAGATATAAGTGTTCTGCACAATTACATGAAGGTAAGGTGCAGACTTTATATAAAAGTATCAAAGAAATGGAATGTAGGGGGGAAAATAGAAGCTACTTCTTGTCTGTAATGGTTTTTGTTTGTTTTTGGTTTTGTTTGTACTGGGGTTGAACCCAGAGTCTTATGCATGGTAGGCAAGCACTCTTCCACTGAGCTACATCCCCACCCCTTTTTTGTTTTATTTTGAGACAAGGTTTTGCTAAATTGCCCATCCAGCCTCAAATTTGCATCCTTCTGCCTTAGCCTCCTCAATAGCCAGGCTGAATGTGGTAATGCACACCTGTAATCAGAGGTTCAGAAGGGTAAGGCAGGAGGATCTCAGGTTCAAAGGCAGCCTCAGCAACATAGTGAGACTGTAAACAAACTATTGAGATCCTGTCTCAAAATAAAAATAAAAATGGTCTGGGGATGTGGCTCAGGAGTTAAGTACCTTGGGTTCAATCTCTCATAATAATAATACTAAATAGCTTTTAATTCAAAAGCCTCCATCACCTTTTTATTAGAACTTTCATATCTTTGGGTGGAAAAATCACAAAATACAGAAAGATACATGATTTTTTTCCCTCTACTTAGAAAATAGATGTTTGCATTAAACAATGAACTTCTGGTTAAGTGTTAATACCAATAATGGTTTTTGTTTTGAGAAATTTTTATTGAGTAAATGAGATACAGAAAATGCAAAATAATGTGCTGTGCTTCTCGGAAATAGATATTATCTTTGTTGTGTGGGTTATGTAATGTGATTGGTGGACACCAGTTAATAGTGGAAATAATAATGGTTTGCAGTTAATTGTAGGCTACTTGTTTATCTTATATTCAACATGTTAATTAAGCATATAAATCTGTCAGAATTATTTGATGAGTTTCATCTTTGCTGTAAGAATGTAAATTGAGGAGGTATGGTGAATAAGTTAGTGATCCTTGCCTTAAGTCTGTAGAAGTTTTTCATCATCATCACAGAATTAGTATTTATTACACACCCACATGCTTGGGGTGTTGTTCTAAACCCATTTTTAGATCAAGCTAAGGAGGCCTTGTAATAAGGAAACATTTATCTCAACAACTATTCAGGGTCTATCCTGATTCCAGCCCCAGTTCATAGGGACTACTGAATCATTACATAAAAACAATGAAATGGATCCTGTAAAGATGAAGTAATTAGAAATGCCTTGGGAAAGCCCCAAGCACTCTCAAATAATCTCTCATCTGTACCAGTGCCTAATAATTTGTTAATGTAAATTGGTTCCTTTGAGCTCATTATTTTAGAAATACATTCTCAAGGTGAGAGTGAAGAAATGAAAATAAAAGGAAATAAATTCATCATATGCTTTGCATGAACCCCTCATACTATCCAACAAAATGAAGTGTTTGATCAACTTAATCACCTGTTATTGAGCTTAAAAAACAACAAAACAAAATCACATCTCCCTAAATGAGATAACTCATTAAATAATACCTTAATATCTTGGCAGAAATGTGAACAGGAGGAAGAAAGAATCTGCATTTATTAGATTATGATTGAATTTTACTACCTGCCAAAAAGTAAGGCATTTTCAGAATGGAACCAAGAATAGACTAGGTGTGTGATAATCAATTTTGAGGAGCAGAAAGCAAAAATAATTATTCCTTAGAGGAAGTAGGAGGAAATCAGGCCCAGGAAAGCTTTGAATTCCTTTGATTTGGGGAGAAAACTAGTACTGAGAGAGTTCTATGAAGAGGGGATAGAAGGGGGCTAGAAATCAGTCTCCTTGATAAAACCTAGTTCATTTTACAAAAGCGTAGTTCCAAGTTCACACCTAGATAGGCTTTTATTTTAATTTTATTAAAATATGGTAATGGCCACATATGCTATTTTAAAAAATAAAATAGCACATAAGGGCTTATGATGTGAAGCAATAGTTTCCTATCCTATTTTTATTTTCACTTCCCAAAAGCAATTCCCTATGTGATGAGGATCAAACCCTGGACCTTGAGCATGCTGGTCAAGTGCTCTACCCTGAGTTGCACCCCCAGCCCTATAAGCAATCACTTTTAGCTTTCCATTTTTGTTTCTTCTGGTAATTCCTGCTTATTAATAAATTTATAAATAAATAAAATATCTCTTGTTTTTTCTTTGTGTGTGTGTGTGCGCGCCGCGCAGCTGGGGATTGAACCCAGGGCCTTGTGCTTGCAAGGCAAGCACTCTACAAACTGAGCTATATCCCCAGCCCCATTAATTGTTTGTTTTTTTAAATCAACTTTCAACATGGTATTCACTTATGGTAGATAAACATTTAGATAACATAAACTATTTCCTCCCAGTATTTTAATTATCTCATGGTAAAGTTTGTAATTTAAATATGTAATTTCAGTACTTTAACCCATTAGATCCCAAGTTTTCAATTCTGCAACTATTTCAATGAAATTTTTGACATAGTGCATTAACATTTTTTTGTGTGTGTATGGTGCCGGGAATTGAACCCAGGGCCTCATGCATGCCCAACAAAACACAGGTTAATTAAAAATAGGCTGGAAATCATAATCTTGAGCTTATATGTGTGTGAATGTTAATTAATATCATAATTACTATAATATATTATTGTATATTATATACTATATTTAAGTTTTAATACATGTTCCACTTCTATTTCTTGGATTTTCATCCTTAAAAAGTATACTTTAGCTCTTCATTCTCTGTAAGATGAAGCTTTGAAATGTCTAATCTCTTACACTTCTTTGCCCCTTCTACTTTCCAAATTTTGTTAGTTGTATGTTTCTCATTGTCATGGATTATATTATACCTGTATACTTCAAGTGATTATTTAGGAAAATAAACTATAATTACTGTATAAGCTCTCTCTAGACCCATCTAGAGCAATTTTCAGTGTTCACCTCTTTACTGACTGCAGAGAACTAGCTTTCAGGTTGACAGGCTTCTTTTAAATTCTTAATCAGAAATCTCAAATTAGTTATTCAGTTCCCAAGATTATTTCACTTCCCAAGATTACTATTTTTTATCTTTTTTCTTCTTCAGCTAATGATTCTTTTTTTAAAAAAAAATATATAGTGAGATTGGGAACTTCCTCAACATCCTGCCACGAAATCTGCAATCCTTCCTGTAACTGCATTTGTTCTCTATCATCCTATTAAAGTCTTTCCACCTGTGATCTGCACT